GTAAAAACTCAGCTTGCATTTCCGGTGGTGTGGCAAAACCCTGGCATAGTTGCTGCCTATGCTTTGGGTTATTGACCACCCAGCTTCCTTTACTCGGGAATAAAAAACTGCTTCTTTCCAAGAGCCTCCTCCTGAATTCTTGGCCTTGGATTTCTCTGGGATTCAGGGTTACGAACCTTACACTTTATTGTAAGGTTAGAGCGGCCGAATCTTGCAAGTCTGAAAGTGCTTCCCCCCTCCCCTGCCTTTATGCTCCAGAGAACTCAGGAGGGCCAACTGTGAGACGCTTTCTCCACCCTCAGTCCAGCTTTGGACTCAGATTTCTCTTATCAGACTGTTGTCTAAGCTGAGGTCTTTCTCCTGTCTCTCAAGGTTATTCTCATAGCTCATTATAGTATAACATGTCACCACTTGCACCTTTCCCTCAGTAGTGCAATGCTTCTCTCTCCAATTTGCTTACTCTATTTGGTTCACTACCAGGTGGTTCACTACATTTGGTTCACTACCAGGTGACCCATCTGAATAAAAGCTGGAGTCAGCAGATGGCACTGAGAGATCAGTACTTCTGTGTTGGAGTTATTGGATAGGTTGGCTTAGGATCTGCAGGAATGCCTGCACTTTCAACTAAGTTGAAAGTGAGGCAGAATTGTTTTTGGGCTGGAATTTTCTGGAGCTGGTAGAAAGATGTTTTGGCTTCAGTGAGGCTGGATTGCAGAGAGTGGGATGGTACTTTTGGTTAGAGAGTGGAGGTCTAGAAGAAAGAGGAAGTAGTTCTGGAATCTGATCTCTGGTGGGTCACCAGAATATGTCATTACATTCCCTCAGGTGCTGGCTCCTGGTGGTTTAAAGCTTTTATGAGGTCAAGCGGTAGGAGAGATGGTCAACAAAGCTATTCTGGTTGGCAAAGTTGCAGCCCCTGAAACAACTGTTCAATGCAGTAGCCATCACTACTAATTTGCAGAAAGACATCATGTTTAACTTTGTGTTATGTAGAGGTAGTTCTGTTCACTTCTATTCATTTAGGGCTTTACTGAAATGTGCAATCTGACCAGGAGTACTTAAACTTTTGCAGGCTATTCTATGTATGTGTGCGTTTGTCTATATAAAGTCATAGATCCATACATGCACATGCACACACACATTTTCTCTTATGGAATAGCCTAGAACTAGTTGAATTCAAGCTGCCATTTGCAACACAGGCTGTCGCAGACACAAGTTTTTAGAATCTGACCCACTTCAGGATGAACACAAAACAAAACAATGAATCTTTAAGGGCACTAAGATGCTTTTAATTTAAAAATGTTTGCGCTATTGCATTTCCATGAAAGTGAATAGAAACCGGATTACAAGGCTCAGCGGAGGAACAATTAGTACTAAATAGCCAGAAGCATGACACAATTTCCCATCGTTACAATGCAAAATTAATTCCATTAAAAAGCAAACTCCTTTTCTGCAGTTGCAAATCTCCAGAGTTCCTGTATTCTACCTGGAACTCTAATTTCATCATCCCACAATTAGTGCTTTCTTTGCAATGAAAAAGGGACAGTATCCATACCTCACAAAGGAGACAAGCAAAAGAATGGCAAATCCCCCAATTCGTTATCAAAACATTTCACTCAACAAGCAGAACATCTTGAGGTAGAATTTTTAAAGGCTATCCCCTTTCCCTAATGTTTCTATCTCTGCAGAAGGCTGGGATTCAGAGGCTCTTACCCATCTTCTCGGAGATGATGTCTTCAGGCTGTGCACGCATGAACCACTCCACCCAAGCCCCATCATAAATGGCCACATCTGGCTTCCCACACAGATATGCTCCTAATGCCACATGGCAAGCGGTGACTCCTGATCCACAAGTGGCCGCAAGAGGTTTGGAGAGGTCTACTTTCTTCTCCTGAAACAAGCTTCGGATAGTTTCTGGGCTCTTCTCCAAGCCTGCTTCAGTGAGGAATTCTGTGAAAGGAATGTTTGCAGAGCCAGGGATGTGACCAGGTTCGATTCCTGGAGAAAGTTTGAAAAATAAAATACTATTAAAGTTCATTCAACAAAATTGCAAAATGAGGAGTGCAATTTAGAAATAATGTGCATACGCACACACACACATTCTGTATGAAGTGAACCTTGAAATCCTGCACATAGCAGTAAGTTTCATGTGGCTAATGTCTAAGTAGACATGTATAGAACAGTTCATACCAGTGTTTCTCAACCTTGGCAACTTTAAGATGTGTGGACTTCAACTCCCAGAATTCC